GTGGAAGGTAGCGGTCAAGCGTGAGGGGGTCCAGCCACCTTAATTAGATTTCCTTTGACTGTGGAAATCAATGCAATGGCACGCCACGGCACAGCAAAGCACGGCACGGCAAAGAATGATGGCGCGCTGACCAATCACAGTGCCGGCGTAGGATTACAACTCATCCAATTATAGTTAACTGACATAGACCTTTTCGAGAAAAGCGTACCAGGTGGTACGCTGATCTAGCTTAGGTACAGAATCTTTTGTATACTTTGCCTTTGACAGAAACAAATGAGGGAAAATAGCCGCCACCCGGTTAGCCCAATTGGTAAGTGCGCGCGTCGGCGTCTGTTGTGCGGGTGGTCTTGGTTTCAAGTCCCGACCAAATCGATAATCAGGGTCTTAAAATAACCGAGGAGAAGGTTCTTTCTTTGTAATAACATCATTCTGCAAATGGTTAGACCTTCTAAAGAAATTAACAAGCAGTCTCACCTGTTGAAAGAAGTAAATAGACTTAACATCTGCACTGTCAGTATCGTTTTTTCCATCCTTAAGGTGCTTCCTGGTGTTGTATCCCTTGTAGCCTGAAAAAGATATATTATATATATATAAGAACTTTAACTAATCCAGTCGACTATCCTAGAGTGAAGTCATTAAACCCATGAAGTAGATATTAGACTAACACACTTTATTAGACCCTAATTCCACTGTTTTCTTTTGTGTCTATTTGACTATTACACGTTAACTAATAATTTTTATTTCACGGGTTAAATGCCTTCACTCTATCAACTCATCAATAAAAACTATTAAATCTACATATTTTTCCTTTTCTTCGGAATGCATGGTAGGCGCAGCGGTGAGAACGAAAACCTCTCACCAATGCGACCTGAGTTCGATTCCCAGACTCGGTGTTGTATGTGAGAAGAGATTGTTCTTGATTCTCTACTTTGCTTCAAGAGTTTTTCTCCGGTTTTCCTCTTTCCGCAAAAATCAATGTTCCTAAATTCTAATTTAATCTCGAGAAATCGACGATAGGGTTAACCTCTTAGAAATATCTCCTTTCATACTATGATGCGAATAAATCAGGATTTTTCATTTATTTCCTTCGTTTTTTCCATTCTTCATTCACCCACCAATCCAACCCGCATCCATCCGTCCGGTTGTCCGTGTCGATTAAAAAAGTTCATTTTGACAAAGAGCTAAAGCTGGCAAAAGTTAATGAAAACAAAAAATCTGAAACTTACGGGCTTGAATGACTGTTGCAGCATGATCTTGCTCTTCTATTAAACAAATAAATAATACTTTATAAATAAAATCCTAATGATATTTCACAGCCGATAACGCGAGATATTAGCCGGTCATCCAGTTCAAAATTTTTGGAGACCGCGCCGTCACAGTCACGGTCACTGTACATATATACCACAGTACATGACACAGTTACGGTACGGACTGGCAACATGCATAGCACCAGTAACAGCGCGAGATATTAACAAGTCATCCAGTTTAAATATTCAGACACAATAGTCAAGGTCAAGATACGCCCGTATAGTTTGTTTTCCCCAATCATTATACATCTACTCTAAGTTTAGCTGATACTTGTTGTGTTCTTAGGGTTCTGTTACCGTGTTCGATCTCTTGTTCGTGTTCCACCTTCTCCTGTTTAGCACGTTTCAGTTTTTGTCTGGTAAGATGTCCACGAGTGGCTGTCAGGTAAACAGTAAGTGCTTTAGGTAGATGGTTATATATAGGTAAGGTAGACAGGTAGGTAGAGAGGTAGGTAGGTAGGTAGGTAGGTAGGT